GCCGGATTTCTGCTCACTAATAATTCCTTCCAAGACAAAAAATTGTTATATGGGACTGTAAGAGGACACCATAGTTTCTTGATTAAAATAAGAGAAACATAATATATTAATATCAATGCATCTCTGGACATACTGCCAACTGTCCAAAATGACTGTTCCTTAGATCGTTATCAAACAGCCCCAGGCACAATCTACAATGTGATTGCTTCCCACATTATAGGGCAATTTAATGGTTTGTGCAGGCGCAACAGCTGTGACAGAGCGGTCTAAGAGCCCTAGTTAGTGTCATTTGGGGCAGTCTACATGGGTTAAATTGCCTAACAAAATTAAATAATGTATACAAAACACTAAAATTCAATGTGGATGTTGGTACATTATAGATATCAATGGACATCTATATTATTTTGGGATGTAGACACGAGTCAAATTTCAAGGTACATACATGTATAAGAATAAAGTGCGAATTGATATTTGAATAAGTTGATTAAAACTGATGTGATTATAGCCTACAGCTAGACCAACACATCTGTAGTATATTTATAACGCTTACAGTATTTTATCTGTCTAATGTGTGAAAAGTACTTTACATGTAAGAACTGAAATTGAGTTATTTTACCATCAAGGCTAGGGTAATCGAGAGCTGTTTGTTGAACATGTAGCCTTGACCATGTGAAGGTACTCAACAAATGTACATGTAAATATGTGGAGTATTATAATGGGTACTGACAGTTCGGAACATGAAAACTTGAGTCAACAAATTACTGTAATAATACATTGTCTTTAAAGTGTATCTAGAATCGCATGTAAATATACATGAAATCTAAGAAAATTTTTTAATAAATTCATTTAATGTAAGATTTAAAGTCTACTTTTTTTAATGAGATACACATACTTGTACAACTGTACATGCATGTACAACACCATTTCAAACTCTTTCTTCCATACAGTACATTTAACATCTACAGAGTGATTTCAGAATTTGTCCACATACATTGTATTTATGCTAACCTGAACTCTAACCCTTAATTCACTGCATAACACACATGGACAGATTCTAAAGTCTAGCAGCATTTATTTGCCACGATGTACATGTACATTTGCATAGAGTATATGTACATTGTCAGTGGCAAATGAAAAGTCTATGTAGTACAAGTACAATTTCATAGAGCACATCATGGCAAATTAAAGTCTATATGACATGTACATGTAGCTGCATTTATTTGCCCTAAATGGAGCATATCTTGGCATTTGACCGAAATTTGAGAAAAATCCTATGTTAAACTAATTTTATTTTGTTTCTAGCGATAAGTTAGTATAATATATAATTTGAATTAAAGTAAAACTATAAGGGTGTAAGTGATGTGTTTGTAAAGGTATGTAAAGAATGTATTACGTACCAGTTTACATGTACACACTATAGCTGGTATATGTATATTATAGACAGCTGTTGTTAAAAATACCATACTGACCCCACCCACACTTACATGTATATTGACAAAAATTGATCTTGATATTATTTTACCCCTAATACATGGACGACCAGCAGCAAAGTCGTCCTCTAAATCACTTGTCCCAAAAAAAACACCAACAAGTCAGCCCAAAGCTTAACGGAAAGATAACTTAGTTATGTGTGTACAAAAAGTTTGTAGGCTTCTTCCATTTGCCTCAAAGAACAATCTCAGAGGGTTTTAAAACCTTCTGTTGCAAACTTTGACCTGTATTGCATACCCTAAATTTGAACCTAGAATGGGGAATAACTGTGATATTTTATTACAATATTGATACACCATTACATTGCATCTAATATCAGAATTATTTCCAACTGATAGGGGATCTTTATTGTGCTGTCAAGCCAATGGAATACCACAGGACCAACATGTATGCTTTTTGTCCCATCCAAATGACTTTTCCTTGCCTTGTTCCTTGTCTTGTATCACTGACAAGAGTAAATTGCAAATTATGTTCTTTTCTGCATAAAGGAGCAAACCGAGAAGTGTTTCTTTAAAGTTAAAAACATCTACACCATGTCTAGATTGACATTTTATTAATTATTTATAATACATGCCATACACAACATCCTGTATAAGCTCATCTACATTTAAACCCTTCAAGACCTTTATCAACATTCAATAAAGACGGGAACAGACTAGGTTTTTGACTGCTGAAGTATATTATCATTAATTGTAAGAATGAAAGTTTGCATGAAATAGGCAAATGCACAGAAAATGACTTATTGCCAAATTCCCACCAACTCTGCTATGAGTATTGATTTCCCACCGCATCAATTATAAAAGACACAGGAATAATTTCAACATATGATCTGCACCGACAGCCGTGCAGCTCATTTAAAAACTATTGAAAGTAAGACTGAGTTATTTACACTGTACATCAAATTCAAAACTGATTGAGTTTCATTTAAAGTTTTCTCTCACTACTAGGTAATATATTAACCCCACCCACCCCACCCCCTGCTTTCAAATATTCATAATTAAACAACTTTTTTGTTTTACACTTTATAGTAAGAGAGAGAAATACGCCTACTCGACACAAACTAGGTAATTTCGGGTCTAACACATGGTTCAACTTTATTTCAATAATTCTGTTGCGCGTAGGGGTCTTTAGCAGTGGGAGGAAACCCGGGTACCCGCTGAAAACCCATGAGGTTGGACAGGTGACCCTACTCCCTGCCATGTACAACCGAGGAATCGAAACCCCGCCAGTTGACTCAATGACAGACCATATGATACAGTGTCCGCACATGCTAACCATTCGGCCATCCACCCCACCCTTTTTACACTTATCATTATGCGGACGTATTCATGAAAACTCAAAACTAAAATATTTAAAGAATCTGACCTTTTTATTGGTTGAGCGTGAGAGCTAAAATTCTGGTACAAATTTTTACTCTCAGCCAATGGAAAGGCTGTAATCTTAAATTATTCTAGTTTAAAGTTTTCATGAAAAGCCTATAGTACCTGGTACTTGTACTGTAAGCAATATTTGTTGTAATAGCCTCTCGCCAAGAATTAAATTTCGAACTGGCATCTGGTATCCACCATTTAACGTTTAACCGATACCTCAAGTTAGTCTAGCCTTTTAACACCCTTCCCAGTGAGAGTGTTAAGAAAACAATTAAGTCTGTTGTATTTCTGTGTAGTCAAGTGTTCTTGTGCTATGTAGTATATAACTCACTGGTGGCTGCAAAAAGATCAATTTCTTCAGACTCATTAAATGAACTGGCTGAGAAGAGATCTGACTGACTGCCCATTTTGGCATTTGTTAAATAATGGCCCAACACTACATGTACATGTATGTACTATTACTACAAACTATATACATGTACGTGTACACATGATGTATGCCGAGTATTACACTGTATCTTTCTAGACACTTATTTCAAAACTGATAATCATTCACTTGTATTTTTAAAAATACATATTTTATTTTTCATGTCATATATGTACATTGTAATTCACGGTAAAATGCACCCAAATTGATTATTTAAAGCCAAGAATTGCTTTTTTTTAAGTCATACATGTGTATGTCTAAAATATGTTAAAGAGAGAGAGAGAGAAATGGGGTTTAACGTCCACTCGACACAAACTAGGTCATTTCGGGACTAACATATGGTTTAATTTTATTTACATAATTCGCTTGCGCGTAGGGGTCTTTAGCAGTGGGAGGAAACCAGAGGACCTGGAGAAAACCCACAAGGTTGGACTGGCGACCCTACTCCTTGCCACGTACAACCGGGGATTTGAAACCACGCCAGTCGACTCAATGACAGACTTTATGATACAGCGCACGCACTCTAACCATTCAGCCATCCACCCCCCCCCCCCAAAATATGTTAAAATAAAGCCTTAAAATACATGGCATCTATACACACAGTCCTACGTTGTTAAAGGAAAATTCTAAATCCTATACAGTGTAATTCACTTGTGTCAGTTGAGAAACTGCATTCCAAATTACATTGGGGTATTTTTGTCTCAAAAAACTCTGGGCTATGATATGCTTACAGTACTCTTTTAGGAATACACATGCTGCTGGGCACAAGATGTTTACATCTTGCTCACTGTTTTGTATTGATACATATTAAGGTTAGAAGTCATCTATTACATGTCTGGTCATTGTTAAGCCAAAGGGCATTGCTGCCATTCATTATGACATTTTGCAGGAATGTACTGTAGCCTATTTTTGTACTGATTTTTCTTGTCTTTTTTTACTAGTCTGAATATATATGTACATTAAAGCCTAATCATAGGACTCCATTGTTTACTAGTAAAATGCTTTGAAAAATCTATCTGAATATATAAATGTCAAGAATATCAACAGATCAAACTAAAAGGTAATTTTTGGAAATCCATTGCCCACAATGAATCTTCTTCAAGTATTCTTAACAGATAGTGTGTATTGTACATGTCCACTGTACATGTACGCATAGCATCTCAAGTAAGAGGGGAACTACGGTCACTACATGTAAGTTGGTAAGACGCTGGCTCGCTAGCCTGGTGGTAACGTGTTCGCTCCCTGCTTTGGCCGAGAAAGTTGTCAGAGATGCAGGACGGATGGCCCGACAGGGACAGTAGCTGTCTAATCATTCGGTTGGTACGAATAACCAAAGTCCCGCATATACATTGGCGTGCACATAAAAGATCCCTTTCCAGCTGGAATTCGATATAAGAGTGGGCCATGTAGTGCTGCTGGACTAACAAAATTTCCCTCATAGCACACTGTAACCGAAAAACAACGAAGATTAGATCATTGAATAGCTAGAGCCAAACAATGTCTTATTGGATGACAATCAATAAAAAATTTAAGAACGTTCAACCCAATTTTTATGTGTTGATCTGGTGATAATAGTTTAGAATGGCTGTTTTGGCAATAAAGCAAATTGGTTGTAAAATGTTAGCTTGCTGATTTATATATGATGGTGTGATGTTAGCTTGATGATTTATCTGTGATGGTATGATATTAATATTATCTTGTAATATACTTACCAGCAACAATAGGTTTAGCAGCCACTGTGTAAACATGTTCTTGTGTAACATTGGGTTTTAAAACTTTATCAAATACAAAAACTTTACCCTGAAAGTAAACAAATGCAGATTTTAATGCGAAAATAAACTAATTGCACAATGAGTATATTTACATGTACATGTATGTAATACAGAAGTCAATAAAGGTTGGTTTTGGGAATGTCATGTCAATAAAAGTTTGGGGGACTGTCATATTATGGGGTTTAATGTCTTGTTTTTCTGCTACGAGGAGAATTTTGACCAGAGAGTGGCACTACGGCCTACTTTTATTTCGAATTACAACTGTCGTGGGTTCTTTTACGTGCATGCCAATGTATGAGACCTCAGTTTTCCATCCCACCCTAACTACTCCTGACCCTACTCCTTGTCACGTACAACCTGTGAATCAAAACCATGTCAGTTGACTCAATAACAGACCTTATGATACAATGCGCACATACTAACCATTTGCCTATCCAACTCCCTCCACTGACAAGGTGGAACCATGTCAGTGAATCCTGAGGAACTTAGTGAAATGTCAATGTTAGCAATATTATAGATCAAATAAAAAAAAAAAAAAAAAAAAAACAAACTTGTGACACATTGGCAAAATGCTACAAGTACACATGTACATGTACGTATGTCAATGCATCATTATGTTTGTATAAATCAATTCCATTTCAACCTTTCTCATCTAATCAATTAATTTATAATGTATTCACCTGTTACATGCACTCATCATTAACAGATCAAATGATTTTTATAACATGTATACAACCAATATTCTAACTGATTATTTACATTTTGTTATTCTATTTCAATCAAAACTATTGGAATTTGATCTCGTTACTGTCTCCTATGGAATATTTACTAATATTTATTCCATGAAATCAAATAATTAAAAATAAAATTAAGAGAAAATATATTAATTTGAAAGATTAACAGAATCTAAAGATTTTGAAAAACCCAATCAGAAAGAAACAGTTTGAAAACTTATTTCAATTGAATCAAAATAAATTGAATAGTAAAATCAGTATTCAATGGGACTACTACATTGTACATGTACCATATTAAAGCTATGGCGAACCGTATGTACATTGTATCTTGAGATTTTGGCATGTTCAGAACTTTTATTACATGTCCTGTAATATACAGTTTGTGAAATGAAATGAAATGGGGTTTAATGTCCTACTGTTCTGCTCCTAAACTGGGCTAATGAAGACGGGCATATGTCATACAGTGTACTATGAGGGAAATTTCAACTAACTGAATTAGAGTTTTTGAACACTAATGAATAATTATGTTTTGCCATCTAGTATTGATACAACCTAGTTTGTGTCAAGTGGACAGTAAACCCTATTTCCCTCTCACCCAAATGTCCGGTACTAGTTCATTAGTGTCATGTGTACAGGTACAGCACTGATGTAAATGTACAGGTAAGTATTCAATTTATAATTTGAACACATTAACACACATATGGTCAGTGCCTATAGGTCATTTTATTTACAGGTATATCTTGTTTATATAGAAATAATAAATACACATTCCTGTGGCCTACGCACATTGACATAAAAACACAGTTATTTTAGCCACTGAGCCAGTCTACAAAGCATTTTTCTGAACAATATACAAAACATAATGTAGGTCTATTAGTTAACGATCCTCTTTCTGTCTACGTAAACATTTACCTACCTATTGGAGCATGAATCAATGTCTATTGTCATATAATTTATTCTTTTGCAATTTATCACCTACATACATTGTACATGTACATCTACAATGTTCAATAAAATAACTATAAATATATTATAATCATTCAGTTTGAATTGGATTATATTTTATTGGACCATGAAATTTAAATGTCCGATGTACAGGTATAAATACTGAATTTGTGTATATATTTACAGGGGTATGTAATTTTACAAGTCTGCCTGCTATCTTGTACTCCATTGTCCCCCCAAAATAATGCTGTAATTGATACGGTACCCAGTTCTTTTGACCCAGAACCATTCTAAAATATTTTCATTGTAGTGTAAAAAGAGAGAGAGAGAGAGAGGAATGGGGTTTAACGTCCACTCGATACAAACTAGGTCATTTCAAGACAAACATATGATAAATATTATTTCAAAACATGTAATTCGCTTGCGCGTAGGGGTCTTTAGCAATGGGAGAAAACTGGAGGACCCAGAGAAAACCCACGAGGTTGGTTAGGCGACGCTATTCCTTGTCACATACATGTACAACCGGGGAATCGAAACCAAACCAGCTGACTTAATGACATTCGACCACCCCCCCCCCCTGTAGTGTAAAGGAGGACCATCGTATTCAGCTTGGGTCAGTAAAATAAGTATGTATTTTCCTTAGATATGAAATGCAATTTAGCATGAATGGAGGCCAGGGGTTGAAATGTTTGTAAAATTTTACTTGTCTCAGGTGACAAGTAGAAATATTTTTTACTTGTCACTTGTTCATTTCAAGTTGTCACCACTGATTTTTAATAATAAAAAAAAAATTAATAATAAATAAACTTATTGTATTTCAATTTCATTTGTAAGAGATGCTTACAATCAGACTCCGCGTTCACTTTAGCACATTTTGGCGGAAGTAATGAAACAAATGACGACCGTTTTCTCACTCAAGAATCTTCGCTCTTCCGACTCGTTTGTTGTCCGCACGTTTCCGACTCATGGTGATAATAATATAATTTGAAATAATACGGTATCCTCAGGCATGCGTGTATATTTTACACCCCAAATGAACCACGGCAAACGGAATTCAACAATCAAAATATTTAATTTTCTTCGGAAAGAATTTTCTAATATATTTTATTTTTTAAGACAAAACGAAACATCAAATGATACTGATAGGCTTTATAATTGATGTATGCCGCCTGTTCGCCTCGTGGTTGTGATTGGCATTCAAATTTCAAGGTAATTAATGGTTAAGCAAGGACATATATACATGTATACGATTAGAATTTTAATATTTTTTTTTACCGCCATGTACCTCAAAACATTACCTCATGTACCTCAGTAGTGTTACTATTTTAATGCAAAGAAACCTTTCCCAGACGTATGGAGCGAACTTAAAAGGACCATATAAGTTTCAGTCTTGTTAATCGGGGAGAAATTCGCCACCACACTACTATGGATACAAACGGACAGCTTGTCGCGTGCTGTTAAATAACGTCTAATTATTTGTTTTAAAATGAAAAGTTCCCCTCTTACAATTTTATTGGAATGGATAAAACAGACATACATTTTTACTATTTTAGCCTGAATTTTTATAGATATTATTCTAGTTGTCGCCGGCAAGTAGATTTTTTTTCTACTTGTCCATTGAAAATGTTACTTGGATTCGACAAGTAGACAAGCGTTATTTCGACCCCTGATGGAAGCTGATTTCTGTAAAAATACAAAATGAATCAACTGATGATGAGTAATTAACAGACTACTGTCTGATTCATCGTAAATTTTAAACGGATTTCTTCGATTATGAACAAACTACTTAACTTTGGTTATTATAAACTTACCTGTGTGTTTGTAATGAACTCCCGTTCGATAAAATCCATTGCACAACTAATTATCACAACGATGAGAACAATTTCTCTCTTGAAAAATTTGAAAATTTACTTGTAATTTCGACAGAGTCGATGTCAACAATGTCTTCGTGACGTAATGGTCGAATCCAATATACCTGTTGCGGGGGTTGGTTAACATTGAAAGATAGTTTGACAGCGCGATCATTTTGATCGTATATGGGTTTGGGCGACGAAAAATATCAATTGAAGGCAATTACATAGGAGATTTATATGGAAACCATTGATCGCCAGTCTATCAAATTTTCTTCACAATTAAAATATCACTGATTGCACGGATACTCGTAAAAATAAAGTCATGAATAAACTATAAATATCCTATCTTCTTTATGTTATAAATAATTTAACAAGGATCATGAAGCTTACCTCCGAATTCTCTGAGTGTATTTTTAATTTTATACGCATTCTTTCGATCGAATAATAACCGCTTCAGTAACATCTTTAAGCGTGTTGCGGCAGCCCTCAGCGTGTCTATTGCCGTATTGGGTGCCCGGGTGGGTATATAATGCTACTAAGCCTGTATGACCCCGTAAGAAGCGGAACATTAATTGTCGATTCGACAGTTTTGACCGAAGTGTGATAAAGCCCGTAAAACGAATGTATAGTTGTGTTTGTGCGGCATGCGTGTTCAAATGTAAATAATCCCATCCGAGTCGCAAATCAAATAATTAGAACAAAATATTTCAAAAAGTAAAGCTATAAAATTTGCAGAGATTTTACTAGAATGTAAAAGACGGTAACTAAATACAGGAATGCGGGTAGTTATGTGTGCGAACGCTCAAACTCAATACCAATTGTCGTAGGTATCCAGACCACTCGGACCAAAGACTACTCGGACTAAGACCAGTCGGACCAAAACAAGACCAGTCGGACCAATTAAATTATATTATAAGGCTAGACAATATGCTATTTATTTATTATTAAATCACAATACAAAGAAGCAAATAATTCTTATACGGAATTCTTATATTTAGAGTTGTTTGGTTCAATTTTGTGTACGGAAAATAAATCAACGATTAGTTTTAAAATTAATTAATAATGGTGCCAAAAAAAAATATCAATCTAATTTTTCTTTACTCTTGCAATGAGACTCGGTATGTCCAGACTTTTGACAGTTTCTACATATACGGGTATACTGTTCTTGTCTGATAGCCTAATTTTACTTTTTCCACATTCGCAGTATCCCCAGTGGTTTCATTCCGTTCTACCCCACTAACCCCAGGGTTACTATATATGGGGGGGGGGGGGTGGAGACATGTTTTCAAGTCATCCGCCCTTGATGCGTTAATATAAACAGCACATAATAATACGAAGACCGGACGTTTATATGCCCCTTTTTAAACGTGACTACAAGTGTGGTTCTCGATATTTTGCGATTTGGAATACAATTATCAATTTATTCAAACAACACGTTATTATTAGTTCGAGTAGTCATATTAAAACACACACAATTATCAATTTATTCAAATAACACTTTATTATTGGTTCGAGTAGTCATATTAAAATAAACACAATTATCAATTTATTAAAATAACACTTTATTATTGGTTCGAGTAATTATATTAAAACAAACGCAATTATCAATTTATTAAAACAACATTTTATTATTGGTCCGAGTCGTCTTTCTGTTGGGTCCGAATAGTCTTTTTGTATGGTCCGAGTAGTCTATTTGTTTGGGCTGAGTGGTCTATCAGTTGGTCCGACTGGTCTTGAACCGAGTGGTCTTTGGTCCGAGTGGTCATGGATTCTTGTCGTAATTGTACTTGAATTTCCTATGCTGTCACCCCTAATACGAAATGATATCTTCCGCAGAGTGACGTAACCATCTTCCATATTGGTATTTTTCTCTGGGAAAAGTTTGTGATATTTCAATTTTTCAAGAGAGAACTTGTTTTCATCGTTGTGATAATTAGTTGTGCAATGGATTTTATCGAACGGGAGTTCATTACAAACACACAGGTAAGTTTATAATAACCAACGTTAAGTAGTTTGTTCATAATCGAAGAAATCCGTTTAAAATTTATGATGAATCAGACAGTAATTAATTAAGCCTATTCAACACCGCTCAGGAAAGTTAACAGTTGTAAACCCAGAACTCGTCGTTCTAGTCGGACCACCACATGTATGGGACGGTAAATGTACATGTATGAACCCAACAGTTTTGGAATTTGCCAAGACACTAAACCTAAAATACAGAAACTACTGTTAAAACAGCACAACTACATGTATCGGTACATGATACCCAAGTTGTAGAGGATTGTAATAATGACCTTACTGTATATCTGGATAAACCGGTCTACAACTTCAATGTGTAACCAGTGACAACTGCTACTCTCTCTCTATATTTTTTTTTAAGGTTTAGTACATGTATGATACTGGTAATAAAAGTTGCAAGACCTATAAATTATAAACTGGTTTGTTGACCATCATTTCCAAAAGACTATTTTCAAATTTCAGACAAGGTATTTATTAGGCTACACGTACATGTATGTCTTGACTGGACTTTCACCTTAACATCGGTATACATGTATCAAATAACCCTATAGATAATAATCTTGCATACAGTGTACATATATATAACCATATAATAAAAACTTATTGCACTTCCATGTATATATACCTGAATGAAATGAAATATGTAGTAGTAATTGAGATATTATTCTGAATGTATTTGCATACATGTACACGTACAAGTAAATTATCCTACTGTTTGTATTTTAAGCTTATGGAATGTCCTGGCATATGCTCAAATTGTAAAGTACAATGTACCTCTATTCAGTTTACCGAAGCTTGAATTTAAATTGGGCTCTTACTTTTAAATGTGAATGACTGTGTATTATGTGCAGGATATGCGGTTCTATTCATGTATGTACATTGTAATTAAAAGATGATGAAACTTGACACTTCAATATTTTTTAAATATGTTCACTAAAATGTTAATAAATGTTAAAAATTATCTTGACAATTTTCTGAATATCAAAATAATCTTATTTTATAGAAATGCTAAAAGAAATTTATGGAATCTTTTTATATTTAAATAATATTTTAACAGTAGCACTAATAAAATAATATTATTTTACATGTACCATGTGACATGACATTGTAGATGAGGTTATCAAGTGCTTTGAACTTGACTACACTGTACCTTAAGTTTATCTACATGTATTGAGTGGATTCCAAAATTAATCTCTCAATAACATTTATAAAATTTGCCCAACTGTATTTTGTTATTCATGCATTTATTGATCCACCTTTTAAACTCTTTTAGGTCATTATATTTTAAAAGATGTATAGAGAATTATCTTCAATTTTCACCCTATAGACACATGGGATCGTGGTGGGGTGGTAAAATAAATAATTTTACTTTTTTTCTTATCTTCATCAAACCATTTACATGTACATGTATCAGACCAGTGTTTCTGTTTCTTTTTGAGACTGTGTTTAGAGAGAGAGAGAGAGAGAGGGGTCTAATGTCCAACTCAACACAAACTAGGTCATTTTGGGACTCACATATGTTTCTATTTTATTTCACTAATTTGCTTGTGCGTTCAGGTCTTTAGTAGTGGGAAGAAACCAGAGGACCTAGAGGAAACCCACAAGGTTGGATAGGCAACCCAATTCCTTGTCACGTACAACCAGGGAATCGAAACCACACCAGTAGACTCAATGACAGACCTTATGATGCAACGCGCACACGTGCTAATCATTCGGCCATCCAATCCCTGTGTTCATAGAGTGTCATGGTTAATTCACAGGGCTTGCCATGAAGAAAATGATAGCAAGCAATTAGGCACTCACACAAAATCAATGTTGAGTGAGTATGGCGAGTGGTTAAATTTACTCAAATTCGTTTTATGTGAGCAATAGGGCTTAAACGGAACCGCAAATTCAACTTGATTGAAAGTTTGAACCAAATATCGGAAATGTACAACAAATCTATATGTACATGTATTTTAATATCGAAGTTTGACATTCTGTATATTTATCAATTTAGACCAGTAAGTTTGGTATCCTGTAGCCTATGGCTAAAAATATAACCGTGACCTCCCTGACATCGCGTGGTGACAAACCCCGATGTTCATTGACCGCATTTGGAATCCCCGACCAACGTGCGTGTAGTGTGTGTGTACAGCGACAGTGACAATCCTTTTAGTTTCAGTGTCTGTTTTGTAAAAATGATAACTGTCCCAAAAGGCAAAAAGTTTGGTACCAAATATCCATTGAATGATGTGCAAGAGTGACTATCTACTATCGCAAAAACAAGTTTGTGTGAGTTTTGTATGCACGTGCGCAAATGATTGCTCACGTCTCTTGGAAAGCAGTGAATTTCTAAAATACTGTGAAGCAAAAGTCAATCAGTTGGTACCTTATGAAATCTCAAGTACATGTATGTATGGTCTTTGGAGAAAGAAAACAATGTTTCGGCTACATGTACATGTGGTTTAAATGACATATGATATGGCTTTATGACTTCCTGTCTGTCTAGTTTACTTATCACCTACAGTGTCATGTTTATCGATAATTAGTTTAGTCTACTAATGCTTCAATTCATTGCTCATGGATTTGAAAGCAAACAAATACAGTTTTACAAATTTTTTGGTTTTGTGTCCTCACTAGATTTGACCAAATAATTATGGAAGCGCGTCATTATTATGGACGAAAATGGATATGCTGGCGGGTCATGAGAAACAATTACAGTAACAATGGCCTTACATGTAATCATTGTTTATATAGGCGAAAAATACATGCTGCATCAGTTGTATGATCACTTTAGAAATTGTCACACTTGAGGTTGAATTCATATTCACTGAAGTAAGTTCAACTTTATTTATTATAGCTTCAAGCTTGATATTAGATCTTATTTTTGTTTGTGTGGGACATCTTACCATGGACTGGTCGAGCTCGGACGAAGTAAGTATTCATTTTGAAGTGTAACAGTGAAAAGATTACATGTCATTTCGGTCCTGCATCATTTCAGACTTACGACATATCAAATTAAAAAAAATATGGCCTTTATGTTTCCGACTTGGGCAGGTGACATTTCACCTTATATTAAAGTATGTGTATATATAGTAATTTGCTATTGACTTTGATAAATAAATAACACTATTGTCACCCAATAAAAATAATTTTCAAAACTTTTGATTTGTCTTTGGGATATTTTCTTGTCCAAGTCTATATCATCTCACTCTCTGAACATGAATATAAAACTCATAAATTAGTAATCACCAACATTGCACAACAAGCCTTGCAACGTAATATGTATAAGTTATGTCAATGAATTCAGGTAGCATTATTTATGATAATGACTACCAAATATCACATCATCCTTGTGGCGTTGTACTCAGGTCTCGGCTTCCAGACATAATTTAATTTGTTTTTTTCTCTGAAACAAATCTTCATCCATGTAAACATTGCGTGTGAATACTATGGCAACGTACATCTGTTAAATTCTAAAAGAAAATCAATTGCAATGCTCGATTATTATTGATTTTTTGCTATACTCACCCCACAAGATATGGAGTCATCAGTTGGAAATTTCAGGACAAATTTACTGCCTGCCTTTTCTTCTGAACTGTTTAATGGCCGAACACGACACACTACTTTAATATTGCATTCTGCGTCGGACGCAGGAGGTATTGTGTCTGCCATTGTGAGAGTTTTTTAGTCAATCGCACACCAATATTTGATCGCGACAGATGTAGAAAATTTGTCTAAAAATACAACACCGAGCCAAGACAGATTCAAATCATTGTTCTGTCTGCCTTCGAATTCAGGCCGTCAGCACAAAATGGATGCCTCCAGCTCGTTTAACCTTGTATTAAATACTTCCCTCAAACCTCGAGCTATTATTTACCGGGTTTGATAATTGTAGATCACCACACAAGCTACAATATTTTACAGATATCTTTCCCGTGTTTATGGAATAAATTTCTCAATACCGGCCATCTTGATCGCAATGAACTGTGGGAAATGACGTCATGCTGCATATGACCTTTCGTGAACCCCGTCGCACCTGCTATTATAATATGAGAAAACCGTTAACCGCAATATATTTAAATTTTATCTACCCACACTTTTCATTTATAATATTACATACCAACCCATTTTAAATAAACAACAAAAAATATTAAAATATTATGAACACCGGATATACCATATATGGTAAGGCATGTGCCTATAAAATTTAATTAAGATTTAATTGTAGGCCTACATTAATTTTCACAGTGAGTTAGCTGATTCTTGGCGCGTACTCCTCATTTTTGAATATAACAATTTCAAAAACGTTAATTATTCATAATATATATTGTATTAATCTTTACAGCCCATAGAGTTAAATATCACATTTGAGCTCTACAGGCTATCTCTACTTATTATATAAAGCATGTCAGGCAATCCAGTAATATCAACCCCCAGAACCACAGCATCCTCCTGTAAACATGATTCTATCGCAATTTGCCCTCCTTGTTTACTTTTGTTACGAAAACAATAAATGGCGGGGCAAACACAATATCACAAACTTTAGATTAGAACTCCATGCATGCATATTTCCAACCAAATGAAATATAAGTCTAATCTTATAGGCCCTATTTCATTTTGGCTAAACTTTGTTTTTAATTAAATCAGTCTAAACTGAAAATATTTTGCATGATATACACAATAACACTTTAAAAAATTACTAAAAGCTGTATAATAATATTACTTTTTAGCAGACGACTTTTGTCAGGTGTAACATGTATTACAGGTAATAGATAAGGGGAGGCGACTGCATTTATGACTTGGATGCAGACCGCGATGACTAATGATAATTCTAGGGCATATTTAATGTTAATTCTGGTTTCTCTGTGTTCGGAAATGAAATGAAATGAAATGGGGTTTAACGTCCTACTCTTCTGCACCTAACCTGGGCTAATTGAAGACAGGCATACGCCGTACAGTGTGCTATGAGGGAAATTTTGCCCGGGCAGCGGCGCTACGGCCTACTCTTATATCGAATTCCAACTGCCAAGGGATCTTTTACGTGCACGCCAATGTGTACACGGGGACCTCGGTTTTTCATCCCATCCGAACGACTAGGCAGCTGTCCTTGTCAGGCCCTCCGTTCTGCATCACTGACAAGGGGAAACCACGCCGGAAAATCGAGATGAACTTTCTCACTGGACTGAACACAGTACACGCTGTCAATTTTTAACATTAAATATACTGAATAGGTCAATTCTGACTAAGACAATCAATACTATAAGGCCTACAAAAAAGGGCCCACAACAACGTTGTGCCATTTTGAAAGCGTGACGTGTAGCTCCTTGTTGAACCTGCTAGGGAGGGGGGGGGGGGGCGGTGCATACACGAGAATTTTTCGTCATAAGAATTTGACTTGCGTTAGTAAGCCTCCGCAGGCTGACACTGAGTTTTAAAAAGAAGCGAATCTATATCCCACTTCCTCCATGTTTATTTTTCCATATCTGGCGCACGACTATTTTCCTGATCAGTACGATATTGGGTTTTGTAATGATCCTTTAATGGCATACCGTCCAGACGTAACAAGATGACACCAGAGAAATGGTCTAGTTTCTTTACAAACACTCACTTATATCCCCAAGGTGGTGGAGTCTATTTTATGAATAGAATAATTTAGAAATAAAACGAAACATTTTCTCCCGTATAATGCATCAGTTAAGAGGATTGCATATATCTCACTGAAATGCCGACACAGGGGATGGAAACTAACTAACTGAAAAAAAAAGGAATGAATAAAATGGGGTTTAACGTCCTACAAGGTGATCGCCCCGTTAGTTCGCGTGGATTATATCACACGCGTTGTTCGTATGGGGTGTAGTAACACAACTGTTCAGGGCAGAAGTGTTGTCTTTTACTCATATTTACGTATTCGCGTACTATTTTATGCACCGGTACCCATTTAAACTTAATATGAAATATTCTTTTATTCCGATATACTTCCAACACATTTATTTATTTTGTTAATAATTCAAAAAAAAAAAAAAGAATTGTTTTAGAATTTAATTTACAAAAGTAAAAAAGTTAATATTGAGAGCTAATACACTCGCTCCGATGCCAAGCGAACAGTTAATGCAGATTTGGTCAAAGGTCACGAGATGTAAACAAGCCAGTGCTAATGTAGAGACTTAACCCCTCCCCCAAGTTCATAAACTTAACCCTAGCCTTAACCCTTATAACGCCGTCAACAATCAGCTGCATAATGTTACATATCGGCACCTTGGCAGGATCTGCAGTTGGCTCTAAGTTTTAGACTTCACCGATTGACAATTAAGAAAAATAAGCACGCGCTTAGAGCATCATGGGAATAGGGCGCAACAGAATATCTGCTTAATTGTTACATGCCATATTTAAAATATTTATTTAAAAATTAATTAAGAACTTTCAATTAGTTTTTCACTGTTTTTGTCTTTTCTTACTGTTACCTGTTTTGTTGAAATTAATAATGACGTGATTGACGGTTGTTTATATTGTTTATGTTTTGAATTATATATATTTTGGGGCAACAAATGGTGTAAGTGCTTAGGGTTTCTGTGGATCTTAATCCGGCCCTAACCAGGGACTGAAGTTTTTCGTACATTTCAATCAATGTCAACTGAGAAGGCGCAATACTAGTTCAGCTCTGAACATAGGTCTTATTACAGAGAGAGAGAAATGGGGTTTAACGCCCACTCGACACAAACTAGGTCATTTCGGGACTAACATATGGTTTTTAATTTTAATTGAATAATTCGCTTGCCCGTAGGGCGCTTTAGAAGTGGGAGGAAACCAGAGGACCCGGAGAAAACCCACGAGGTTGGACAGGCGACCCTACTCCTTGTCACGTACAACCGGGGATTCGAAACCCCAGGCCTTATGATTAAGCGCGCACGTGCTAACCATTCGCCCAACCAACCCCTAGGTCTTATTACACTCGCCCTGTACGTTCAGGAACCGTCATATTTACCTCTTTGTCGAATAAATTTCTGTTCCCAGTGAATCTTACCGGGCTACTTTTAACTGCTAAACTGTCGCGTGTCAGACCCTGTGAACGCCAGTACAATGTAAAGGAACATTTTAGTGAGAAGATAATTGTGTTATTATTTCCGGGGTGAATGATTTTTTAGTGTGAGAATGATACCTATGATCGTATAATAGTGAGTCGACAACCTATTGAGCAAAAGACATAGAAATATTTATGTTTTGACTTTCTTAGAAAATATAAAATTATCGCTTTAAAGGAGCTAAATCGCTAATATTTTGGACCTAGAAATTGACAAAAATGGGTCGCAACGCATATAATAATGTTATATGAATGTATATAAACTGATTTACATTCAATCGTTTCTATTTTTACTGTAATTTCTAATCATTTATGTTCGGCGAAATACGTCAGAAGACTCATGTGAATGGCAATCTTTAGCGTCTGATTTTTCCAGTCTACATCGATGGTATTTATTGCGCATGCTCTCCAGATAAGAATATAGCGTCACCATTTGACATGACTTGTGGAATATGTCTAGCCCTGTTCTTTGAGTCCCTTGTTCCAAATGGCGCTGAAACACATTATGGTGCACGATTCGTGTACCAATGGTAAAATGTTTATTTTGTCTTGAATATTGGATATCAAAAGCCCATCTTTTCCCGGAAAGATCACAACACCAATGTTGATTGGAATTGACAAATAATACGTGTTTTCAATGTCGAAGATTTTTGATGATATTGAGTTAGAGACTTAGCTACTTTAAGTCAAGTTGTGTGCTCTTGTTTTTTAATCCCCGTTTGTATTGAAAAGGAGTTGGGTCGTGGGGTTTACATCCACAGCTAAATACTCCTATACGCGTAAGAGAACCAAACATAATGTTAGCCCCGAAATGCCTTCGAGTATAAGTCCCCCCCCTTTCTCCCCCTCTCTCTCTCCCTCTCTCTCTCTCTATCTACTGTTATATCCCTATAGATTAGTTAGTACATATACCTATTAACATACTGTATACATGTAATCAAATTCTTCTCAGTCCACAGACATCACAACTCTTGCATACTAATACACACAAATGTTACAACCGAATTTAACAATGACAAGCGTATGGAGGAGCTAATTAGATAAGAATTGTGTCGGCAATAAACATTGCGCTAGTCAACTGTGCTGGTATGGTCAGAAAGCAAGTGTATGTATATATAAAATCAGTAAAATGCTTTTGGTGGAACTTTATCGGTTATTGTCCATTTCAAATAAAATTTAAAAAAATGAAATAAAACCGGGATTAACGTTCCATACTTGTTCATTTCAAAGTCAAGGACAATAACATTTTAGCTGAGCTAGATTACGGACTGACTTTGGCAGCATGATATCTATACCTGTAGCATGATCTATACCTGCAGCCACTTGCCAAATCTGTTTCACAGAATATTACGAACGCCTTCTTATAAACTCTTTCGATATAAGAGTAGGCCGTAGTGCCGCTGTCCGGGCAAAATTCCCCTCATAGCACACTGTATGGCGTATGCCCGTCTTCATTAGCCCAGTTCGGAGCAAAACAGTAGGACGTTAAACCCCATTTCATTTCATTTCACTTATAAACTCTGTAAAAGATGACTGCTTTCAACATATGACGTCACATCACGTGGCGTCAATCATTGGCTCAATGGCACGTGCATTGTTTACATAAGACATTACTGGTCCAGGCAAAATGGTGCCTTTTACTCATTTTTCACACCCATATACACTAAATAAGAAATATTGTTTAACTACATATACTTCAAACACCTGTATTTATTTTTCTAATGCTTAAAAAAAAAACTGTTCTAGAAATTAATTTGCAGAAGGAAAAAGGTTAATATTGGGGGCTAATTAAGTCGCACCGATGTTATCCCTATCAGTGATTGTAGCAACCGAGCTAATATTCACTGCTGATCAGTGTGTCTTTTGCCCAGTTACACAATCCATGGCCAAGACTTCGACGACTACATCAGAATGACATGTGCAATGTTTGCTTGGATCGGTATGGTGACGTAGTTTTAATTCTTGAATTGTTTGAAATGGCAAGGAAGACGTCTTTTTGTTTTGGAAATTGTTAGCAACTCGTTTAGTGTTGTTGTTATGACAACCATTACGACACAATATAAAACAATAAAGGGACTTTATAGTCGTGCTTGATATACTAATAATTTTGGACTAATTTGCGTTTTGATAAGATCATATTTTTGTAATGCATATAGAATTAAAATCGAAAGGAAATGAGAAGGGTTTTAATGTCCTACTGTTCTACTCCGACTGGGCTAATGAAGACGGACATACGCCATACAGCGTGCTACTCTTATATCGAATTCCAACGGCCAAGGGTCTTTTACGTGCACTCCAATGTATACAAGGGACCTCAGGTTTTCTTCCCATCCGAATGAATAGACAGCTGTCCTTGTCAGGTCCAGCGTCCTGCACCACTGACAAGGGGAAATCACGTTGAAAAATGTCGACGAACTTTCTCTGCCAATGCAAGGATCTAACACGCGACCTCCACACTAGCGAGCCAGCGTCTTGCCCACTCAGCCACCGTGGCTCCAACTGAAAGTCGATATTTTCCCTTTAGTCTGAATATTGTACCTTTAAGAACTCGAGTTTTTAAATGTTGTACATGAGAAATGTGGACATTGGTAGAATTAAAAAAAACTGGAGATGGTCACAATATTACAGGGATTAGATATGATTTGTTTAAGGTATAAACTCTAACTTTATTTATTGTGAATATTTTTAACTATAATAGTAAGATCTAAATTGTAAATATCGTTTATATTTTAAATTTCATTGAGAACATTTGATATTACTTATAGCATTATCTTTCAGAGTTATTGTATGTGTACTGTAGGCTATTGCCTTAGTTATAAATAAACTGTTTGTTTAAATAAAGTGGCAGACTTTTTTGAAAAATAAAAATGTTTGTTTCGGTGAACAATAGAAATCTCGAGATGTTTTAATAAATGAAAAGTAATCCAATATTAATTAAAGTTATTTTGTAAAAGACATATTTAAAACTAAAATAAAAACTTAGCTGTCCTTTTTAAACAGAGCATATTATTATGATATATAACATAATGACTTATGTCATAGAGGCGTCCTGCCATATTAAAATACGTATTAGTGATTGTAACATAAACCTGTCGCTATCAATACCCGGCTGGAGATCTTGGTAGTATTCCTTATGTCATTGCGTAACTATAACTTGTTGTTGGCATGTCTTATCTAACTTTCTTTGTCTGATAAACTATATTGAATGTTAAACCTTCATATGATGCTTGATACATTAGACAGGTGTCTAATGAGCTCCTTTGTCTCGAATACGTTTATAAACTCAGAACAGAAACGAATCTTCAGGCGGGTCCAGGAGGCCATGCTAGGCGGGTGCCTAGATCAAGGTACCTAATGGATACGAGAGAGGTCCAGGCAGGGCTAGGAGTTAGGTCCGGCCAGGACTGAGCTAAGGCCATGGGCGCCTTGGCATGAGACGGTACGAGACGACAGCTTCTGGAGTTAGCACACTCATGCTAAGCCAAGCTAATTAAGTCATGACTCCTTCCATATAGTTAGTTCTACGGTCGTTTACATCACGATGTTTGTACCTAATATGTAAGCAGAATAAAAATATTATATTCGAAGTCACACCAGTGTTGTCATCAAAGAACCCGATTTAAGAACCAATACTGTCACATATTAATTGGCGCCGTAGACCAGAGCAAAGAGAGGTATATAACATAATGACTTATGTCATAGAGGCGTCCTGCCATATTAAAATACGTATTAGTGATTGTAACATAAACCTGTCGCTATCAATACCCGGCTGGAGATCTTGGTAGTATTCCTTATGTCATTGCGTAACTATAACTTGTTGTTGGCATGTCTTATCTAACTTTCTTTGTCTGATAAACTATATTGAATGTTAAACCTTCATATGATGCTTGATACATTAGACAGGTGTCTAATGAGCTCCTTTGTCTCGAATACGTTTATAAACTCAGAACAGAAACGAATCTTCAGGCGGGTCCAGGAGGCCATGCTAGGCGGGTGCCTAGATCAAGGTACCTAATGGATACGAGAGAGGTCCAGGCAGGGCTAGGAGTTAGGTCCGGCCAGGACTGAGCTAAGGCCATGGGCGCCTTGGCATGAGACGGTACGAGACGACAGCTTCTGGAGTTAGCACACTCATGCTAAGCCAAGCTAATTAAGTCATGACTCCTTCCATATAGTTAGTTCTACGGTCGTTTACATCACGATGTTTGTACCTAATATTGTAAGAAGCAGAATAAAACTATTATTAGATGTATATACCAGTGTTGTCATCAAAGAACCCGATTTAAGAACCAATACTGTCACAGATATACACACAATTGTAACGGCTAAATCTATTTGTTATGGCCTGCTCAATTTTTGTCAAGGTCGCTGAGATGTAAATAAGGTTAGGGCAGGTGATTGCTGGCGAGATTATAGGTTAGGGTTAGTGTAAGCATTGGGGCTAGGTCCAGGGTTAGGGTTAGAGTTGGAATTAGTGTTACCCTGTTTACATCTCGTACGTATGACGAAAAATTAAGCTGGCCTTATCATTTAGCACTAACCAATTTTGACCAAATCAAAAATATGCACTGACCTCAACCCAATGACGAATAGAAGTGGGACACAATCCCAAAATATATGCGTGTCAGTAACAAATTCAACACCTATTTGACTATTGCATAACGGTAAGTATGACATGCATCATACCGTATATTACAACAATGGCGATAACATACATTGCGATAACAGCGCGTGCTATACCTATAACCACAAGTCAGACTTAATAAAGATTTACATAAAACAAATAATGTCAATATAAAATAATCGTAACATGTTCATAAACTTTCATTCATTCGTTAACCTGTCCCCCCTTTTATCGGAACATATCTTACAATGAGTTTACAGGTACGGTCAGTCTAATTATGTTCTAGAGGGGTGTTAAATATGCAGACGAGACTGAAGGTAAACAAGATGTTGACACGTGGGGGGCTATAAAGTGGGTAAAATGGCTTGTTTAAAGCTTACCAACAACTTCGACAAATGCAAAGTAAAGTCTCGATGAACTTGGGAGTGCAGAGTGTGACATAACTAAATACTCATAGGCGCACCTTATCTTATGGATATTTAACCGAGAAGTGGCGTGTCGACTGTTTTCATGTTGGTTGACTTATATAAATGAGAGAGTTTACATGCGAGTACAAGTTGGAGTGGAAACCATGATCAAGAAATATGGACACTGGGTAATACTTGTTCTTATACTGTATGTGATAACGGTTATTTACATGATTTCAACTTTAAGATCAGACACTGCGTCAACTCTGGGAAATTATTACACAGGTCAAAGGTCGGTGCAAACAGGAGAAAACCGGAATGCGGACAAGAAAAGTATCAATAGTGTAATTGTAGAATCGGCGGAGGACGATTTGTTGAATCCCAACGTGCGGAGAAACATTCTCATTGAGAGATCAAACAACGAAGACAAACAAAATGACGACGCACCTTCGTTACTACACAAAGCAGTAACAAAGCAATCGACAAATGGATTAAAGTTGACGAATGTTTCCTTTATACCGATTGGAAATCGATTTCATGTCTATTCGGCTTATTTTGATGACAGACTTCCTGACAGTTATATCAGAATCATTGGCACTGGGCCTGGAAATAAACCGAAGCACAAGTCTGGATTTTGGTGTATTTACGACCAGCAAAAACAGCGCCTTAATAGGAATTCCACAATGGCAACCGAAATCCGTCTTTCCGAGACTTGCGAAAATCACAAGAAAAATAACTCATTTTATATGCTTTCCTGTTTAGTTCCCAAAATAATTGTCAAAGAATTTCGCAAAAATGAAATTTCTCGCGTTTTGATTGGTGCTGAGAAAAGTCGATACAATGGAATCACCATGGCGGTCGTGAACAATTCACCTTTTCGCGCGAAAAATAAAACGATGTCGACATTTTCTATGTGCGTGCCTTCCTTATATGGATATCCGAAACCATTACATTTTGTGGAATTCATTGAATTATCTCGACAACTGGGAGTCGAACATTTTGTTTTTTACACGCAAAGTATAACTCACGAAATGATAAATATTCTTAAATTTTACGAAACCGAGGGCATTGTGACGATTCTACCTTGGAATATACCAAAGCCGGACGATATTTGGAACTACGGGCAATCAGCAGCTGTAGCCGACTGTCTGTACAGAACTATGTTCAAATCCAAAATTGTATCTTTTAATGACGTTGACGAATTTATTATACCCCGCCATCTTAAGTCATGGGACACCATGCTCGTTTATTTAGAAAAACAAAATCTTCGTAGAACTAAAAATGTGGCCGCTTATAAATTCAAGAGTGTCTTTTTTCACGGAAATAGCGAGTATCTAACATCTGAACGCCGCATGTTTAAAACGTTAAACAATATATTAAGAACTTCAGAAGAAAGTGCTATCCGAACCAAAATGTGGGTGTATCCGGAAACTGTGTTCGAGTTAGGAATACACCATCTGAGTCAAGCCATAAAATCTGACCTCGAAACAATTGATGTCGATTCTGAAATGGCTCTGGTGCATCATTATCGGCGTTGCGACGATGTGTATGACATGAAGTGTGGGAATTTTATAGACGACTACACCGCTCAGCGCTACGGAGAAATTTTAATATACAATACCCGTAATGTGTTACGCCGTGTGAAAAAGGATTTATAAAACCCGTTCGTCTAAATGTAATAAATATATATACAAGAGGATATCTGTTTGCATATTGTTAATCTAAGCTACCAGAGAAATGACATCTATTATCCTACTCGGAAATAGCCCATGCCGTACACTCTCCGAAAAAAAGCCAATCACACCATTTAGAAGACTGATATGCGAATAGAAATGTTACGATACAAATAACTGGGGCTTTCATGACTGATCCCGACTGAGACATAAATGACGTGTCGCGTTGGATAGTATTTGAACCATTTTAAATCAAAATTGATTCACACTTAGGAACTTTCGCAAAGAATGGCTATATACAATTTATAAGATTTAGTCCCGAAGGGTCCCGACATTCTTTATATTTATATAGGCTATCAGTGTTTTATCAATTGGATACCGTGTATTGTAAGTTCCGCCCATTCAATTATTCATATCTATGTATATATAGATGATCATTTAGTAGATTAAACTAAACAAGGATATTATATACACGAACATTGATATGATGATATAGCCTATATATATATATTACCTACATAGTTTACTTACTGAATAATATACAACGCTGTACGCTTACTGAATACCTGGATAAAACTTATCACAAGTGTTTATTATCATAATATACGTCTCTATATATTGAAAAAGGGGGGTTGGGTGTCCGAATGGTTAACGCTTGTGCGTTGCATCATAAGGTCTGTCATTGAGTCAAGAGGAGTGGTTTTGATTCCCTGCTTGTATGTGACAAGTGGTAGGTCCGATTGTCGAACCTCGTGGGTTTTCTCCGGGTTCCGAAAAAAAATGAAATGGGTCTAAGGCCCTACTTTTCAGAATCAACCGATCTTATACAGACGAACACGCGCCTTTCAGTGAGGGAAAATGTGCCCGGACATCGGCGTTTCCACCTACTCTTCGTCGAATTCTAACTGCAAGAATCTTTTACGTGCACATCAACGTCTATCAGGGAACTAGTTTTTTGTCCCATCCGAACTATTAGACGCTGTTCCCTGTCGCCCCACCCCCTTCCTGCACCACTGAGAATCCCAAGGAACTTTCTTGACCAACACCGGATCTCCCGATTAGTGAATAAGCTTCTAACTCGTTGAACCATCCCGGATTTCTCTCTGTATTGTATGGAAGCTTATAACTACCATTCAGAACTACTACCTTTCGCCCCTTCAAAACACGAAAGTCAAAAAGTAGAAGTTACGACTTTTTGACTTTCGTGTTTTGAAGGGGCGAAAAGTAGAAATTACGAATGGTAGTTATAGGCTTCTATAGTATTGGACTGCGAAGTAGAGTATCCCAAAATTTCGCTTATTATGCCTGTCTTTATTAGTAGGATGTTCAACCCAGTTTATTTACATTTTATTTCCTTTCAATTTACACTCTGTCGATTCGTATTATCATCTGTCGAGTCGCAACAATAATTTTAATTAAATACATTTCCCAATATTTAAATTTGAATCATTAATCGTATGAATAAATTACAATTTAGGATCGTTGAAATTACATACAATTAGAGTCAAATTTACTTCGATTTTCTGCTGTTCAAATGCCAGGTGGCTCAGTGTGTGAAGCGCTTGGATCACTATAACCAGGAGGTCCCCATGTTCGATAGCCTGGCCATGGTTTCACAAATCATTCTCCGACTTAAGTTAAGAATTTACTCAAAACTGATTTTCTTATTCTAAAATATAGGCTTTTATTTAAATTTGTTGTTTTAATGTATCAAATCAATCAATAAGAAACAATTTGCAAAGTTTTGTGTTTCTGGATCAAAGATATTCCTTATAAACAGTGATTGAAAGTTGAGTAAATTCTTAACTTAAGTCTGAGAATGCTTTGTGTAGACCTGACAAAGAACAGCCGTGTAGTCGTTCTGACGGGATAGCGCACACCCTTGATACATTAACTGAGTTTGATCCATGACCGTTCATTGATTAAAGCGCTGGCTGGCTCAATAACCACGAAATCCATGGTTCAATCCCGGTGGTAGCCTAGATGGTACATCTGCATTTTCCGGCGTGTTTTCACCTTATACAGATCACAGAGGGTCTGACAAGGAACAGCGTTTAGTCCTTCGCATGGGACACAAAAACCGAGGTACCTGGCACACGTTGGCCAACGAAATATCTATCCTGTCTTTCAGATGGGACCACTGTCAATTCGCATATACATTCTGGAGGTACTCTTAAACACCCTGGATTTGGCATTAGTAGATGAAGATGCGTCCAACCCCCTTATACGTAGCCTACAAAACAAAATAATAAAAAATATGTTACTCTCAGAATAAACTATGTGTTTATATAAGAGACAGACCACCATTAAGTTTCACCATCTGGCGATTTTTAGTTGGTCTATTGATAGCAATTATGCCTGTCTCTCTGTCTGCATCCGTTTATTTAAAAGGAGTTGTCTCCCTTACATAAATGCTTGCCACTTCCCTGGTAATTTACTCTGCGTTGTTGTTATTATTGTCATTTACCGAGAACCACTTTTATTTGAAAGGATGTGGTTAGTGAATGGCTATATAAAGTTACAGATTTTAATTAAATTGTCCCAAATTCGAAATACAGCGCCTATTAAATTCCATAGTCCGGTAAACATATCTATTAACGTACACTGTTAGAAAAAATCTGGTAAATTTACATGAAAATTACTGGCAGCAAAAGTTGCCAGTAAATTTACTGTAAATAAACATTCAGCTGTAATATTACAGAGGTTCTGTAATTTGACTTTGTGAGTAAATTTACCTTAAAACAGTAAATGGAAAATAACATGAGTTTGTTTTTTAACTTTGAACTGTAAATTCACCGCAACACAGTAAATGAACGGTTACAGTAAGTTTGTTTTTAGATTCCCCAATGTAAATTTACCTAAAAGCAGTAAATGAAAAATTACAGACAAATGTTAAAATAAAACACAATGATTTTAACTTCCGTTCCAGGATTTTAGATGTAAGCTTGTGGTACTGTCTACTGCAGGCATTGTAACTCTCCTCTAGAGACAGTCAAGCTAACACTGGCCAATCGGTTTAATTAACCGTCTTCAATTGACCTTGGTTACGAGATAATACAATCTATGACAAGTAAGCAAAACATTTTTTTTATACGTTAATGAACATACTTACAATCTGATCAACGTACGATGAATAATAATACACGTTTTAGATCGTATAAATAAAGAAAATTAAATATATATAACATGCAATATACCAAATTGCACAAAATGTGATTGTCCATATTATGGTTAATAAATTAGAATGAATACTATAAGACAATAATTATTAGGAATGGTTCGTTGCTATGGAATACTAAAATAAAATAAGAGACAGTAAATTTACATAAGAGACAGTAAATTTACCAATAAGTAAATTTACAAAATAATGTGAATAAACGTAAATCTGTAAAATTACCTACTGGCTTTGCTATTTTCATTTCAATATTGAAATATTACGCATGTATTTTTACCGGGGTTTAATGTGCCTTTGGTTTCATCAAAGTTTATTGTAAAAAAGAATGAAACTTGGTAAATATACATCATTTTGGTAAACATTCCGAACATTTTTGGTAAAAATTTAATTGCTGTAAATTTACTTATATTTCTAACCTGAAAGTTTACAAAATAATGTGAGTAAACGTAAAATCTCTAAAATTGCATGCTAAGAGACAATAAATTTACCGAATACGATAACTACCAATAAGTTAAACATACATTATGCAAGAGCTAAATCTGCCTATTGCAGGTCTTTCTTTAGGCCTGATATTATGTTCTATAAACTATGAATTAGACATTTATTAACATGAAAAGACCATAATCAACTCATGGATGCCATCTTATGTGTTGGATTTTCACTGGATTTGAGTCCGATCTGGGGCTCAACGCTCATTAATGATTAAATTCAAAAATAGATAATCAAGACTATGTTTTTTTTATCGTACTGACTTAATAAGTAATGATGATCGAGGCTAGGCCTAACATCCAGTCTCTAATATCTCGGTTCCGAGAGGATCAATTTGACAGAAATTTTCAGCATATTCCCATTACATTATCTAGTTTTTAACTATTATAGTGAGAACTGCTGTAATTTTATTTATATTTCTAACCTAAAAGTAAATTTACAAAATAATGTGAATAAACGTAAGATCTGTAAAATTACATGCATGCTTGTTTATTTTGAGTTCAGTTTGGAAATATTACATATGTAAGAATGTATTTTTACTGATTTTGAATGTGTCTTTGATTTCATCACCGTGTATTGTAAAAAAAGACACGAAACTCTGTAAACATACACGAAACTCCGTTAAAATACGCCAGACTTGGTAAAACTACTACATTGTGGTGAACATACCGATAATTAATGTACAAAAACTGCTTGTACTACTGTAATTTTACAAAAATTTCTAACAGTGTATTAATTCCATTGCCAGTGATGCAGGGCGGCGGGCCTGACAAGGACAGCTGTCTAGTCGTTTGGGTGGGACGGAAAACCGAGTTCCTGTATACATATTGGCGTGCACGTAAAAGATCCCTTGACAGTTGTAGGCCGTATGTTGGCGGATGTCCGTTTTTTGTCCTTCAACAACAAAATCTTCGTCCAGCAAAGGGAAATTATACTGCAAAATATTGAGATACTTTCTCGGTTAACAGCGGAATCGAACCCAATAACCCCTGGTTACTGAACCCGTACATTTCTAAATGTGTCTCTCATCGGAAACTAGCCAATAACAATTAAATTTTAATAATGATTAACTACAGAATCAAAATTACAAGTAACATGTAACATATTTAGAATTTTTATACAAATTGACAAAATCAAAAAAAACCCAAACAAACAAGTGTCGCATGAGCAGTGCCGGACTGGTGGGCCAAAGTCCCACCTGTCAGGTCTTTGACCAAGGTCCACACAAGTACGCGCCGAAGGCTAGGTTATCCCCCCAGAAAATTTTGAAAATTGACAACCGCAAACCCATTTTCCAAGCATTTCAGACCAAAGCAGATCAAGGCAAATGTTTGATTTCAAAAGATGAATTACACGGTTCTC